ATTGAATTTATTTCAAACTCCTTACTTCCAAGCCATAAGTTTATGTAACACATCATTCCATTCCAATTCTTTTTTGTTGTAAAGTACATGAAGCCTTTCTAATGTTCCTAGTAACAGCCATGGCAGCAAAAAGATCATCATCATTCAGCTCCTTATACAGTGCAGATTACATGTGTTTTCACAAACAAGAAAGGCCAACAAAGTCATCTGACCAACATGAATATTTAAACTGTTCAAATAAACTATCAATAGACCTTTCTAAATACCAAACAAAGGCTTTCTTTTTCACTGTCAGTTTTGTTTCTTTAAACTGCACAAAGTATCTGCAGGACCACAACATTAGTTGGTTCCAAAAAACTTTCAAAAGCCTTTCCTAGAAAGACAACCTCATCAGGCAAAAGGTTTGCCAAAGCATCCCCTCTTTCCTCTGCGGCACAGTGTTGTTCACACACAAACCCTTTAATGGCAGAGCTATTTTAAACAGACAATACCACTGGCACTCAAACCGTATTTACTTCTGCTGAACTTTCCACTTGTCATGCTTTTCCACTCAGAACAAAGTGCCGACATATTTTTCTCCTTATTGGATTTGTCGGCTCAACATGCAGGAAAATAACCAGCAGAGGAGGAACTGAAGACACAGCCATCACTTAGTGGCATGTGATTGTTTGTCGGCCCCACTGTGCACTACTGTGAACCAAAATTGGGCCGTGAGTGACCCCTTTGTCATCGCATCCACATAGAGGCCGAGGGTCCTTAGACTCTTTTGCTGAAAAAAAAGTTTATGTAACAGTTGTGCTGTGTTTAATGATCATCAGACAAATAGCAGGCTAAAGAGGAAAGTCATGCGCAGAAAAGAGGATTCTTTCGGCCTCAAAGGGCTCTGTCATCATACAAATCCGATCGTGGAACAGTTTATGTGTTGCTCGTTGTATAGATAAATATTTAGAGATTTAAACGCCGGCAGATTGATACATTTAGTCTCTGTGACACAAAAATAAACAGACATCTCTCATGCAGTTTTATGCAAAATATTGAAGTGAAAGATCTTTTTCTTTAAAAGCAGCCGTGAGGTAAGTCTAACATTTTCTCTTTGAGCAAATATTAAGTCTTGTGAACTGAATCAGTCTGCCTGTGCTGTTGTCTTTGCCATTTTGAACACTAATGGTGATAGGATGATTAAACCCTTCAGTAAGTGTATTTTTGGGGGTTGGCTCTCAACACAGTCTGGTGTGTCAATAACTGACAGTCTAGTTAGAAAGCAGATTGACCGATCCCGACTTTATAATTCTTTAATTCCCTCCAAGTCACCCTACATTTCTGCGTTTTACCTTTGCCTGCGTGTTTGTATGTGTGTATCACTGTGATCACTTTTCATTGTTATTGTATAATTTAGTGGGTTTGTGTGTGCATGGTTGTGTGTCTCTGGCAAACCTATCCCAGTTGCACTGTACCACTTTGATACTGACAGCTGGGATGTGTTCCAGCCCCCTGTAACCCTGAACTGGGATAAGTGGGTGTAAAAAATGGATCGAGGGATTCTATTCTTTCATTTTGGTAAACATTTACAATACAACCTGTCAGATACGGTGTAATTTACATGTCAGTTACATGTTGCGATGTGCCCTGCCTAGACTGTACCCAAAATATGTGTGTTTATGATTGTGAAAAAATAGCTAATTACTGGTGTTCTGGGAATTGTAAGTACAAAAAATAACGTGAAACAGAAACCAAGAAACCTAAACAATAAACACACAACATGTCAGAGGGTTGCTGGTCAGTGTTCCAATACGTACAGACTGGATATCACCTTGACCACTGGACTCATATTAAACTCAGTAAAGGAAGAATCCATCTTCTATCCTTACTGCCAATGTCTCATGCCATCCCCATATTCTCTGTGACAGTGATTTTCTTCCCTATAAATACCATAATATCAAATTAAGGCCCTTGTGTGCATATTATAATGCCAATATTCATTGTATGATCTTTCTATGTAGTTCAGCCTTAGTGGGAAACAGGCTTTTTATTTCCCAGCCCATAAATGCAGCCAGCTCCCTTGCAGGCTAGGATTTAGGTACAAAGTTACACAGTCTCCACCTCCCTCTGAACAACTCATTTTGGACTCTGCGGACAATGGTTCTTTTCATTTGACTATTTGGGTCACAAACACTGAAGCTTCCCATGTGACTACATGCACATGTCATCAATCTGCAGTATATTGTAGAGGTTTAGGTGGCCATTTTCAGCCAAACCCAGCCTCAGAATGGCCCTGTTGATTTTTCTGCCCCTTATCTTCTTTGTATGCCATGTTCTTTTTCTGAATGGAGAAGGATCCGGGCTCTTTATGGCTCGACTACATGGTCCAAAATATTTGCGTTAGCCCCAGAGGGACCTGTTGGCCTTCGTGGCCCGGTGCAGATGACAAAATGAACATTACACAGGCCCTTTGTACCAGCAACGTCAGAGTGTTCAGAACATGTGGGGTGTGAACATCAGACAACAAATTAGATAAACATGCCCATAAGACAACCACAGAAAAACAACTCTGGCATTTTAATTGTCGATTTAAAGGGCTAGCCATCTCCATATTTTATCTTGTGCATAAAACCATTGATATCTGCGGTTGTTTACTACAAATACTCCAGATAAATGCAGAATGAGAAATGGAGTCATCCCAAGGCTTGATTAAAAACGGTGGACTTTCAGCTTTAATGTGATTGTGTCTCAATAAATTCTAGTAAAAGCTACCCTTTGTGAAAACATCATCAAACACCATGTGTAGCTGAAGATTAAAGCTTATTTTCCAGTGTCTAATTTCAAAACCGGTCATCAGTCTTCAGACATTTGTTTCACATTTGAAAGCCTACATACTGTATATGTTTGCACTAATTTGTTCAATTGTGGTTTTCTTTTTTTTATTGCCATAAAACGCACAGCAGGACATCATCATCTTATATACCATGATCAAATGTAAATATTTATGCATAGATATATATATGAATATATTTGTATAAATAAAAATCACAAAACCTGTGTTTTATGCCATTTGATAGCGACTGTTTATAAAGCATGTATGTAAGTACTCATGTTGCTGGCTCTGAATCCTCGATTCCGAGAATTACAGTGCGTCACAAGGGAAAAAGAAAAACTGTACCACCGTCAACACTGAGATTAGTGAGGTTTTAGGCAAATACATGAAGCCTATAGATTTACCCTGGTGGTGAAGTTTTAACTGTTCCAGTCCACATTGGCTGACTACTCACCATCACCACAGATTCCTCCTCATCTTTCTGACAAACAGTCTTTGTTTTTTCACCGGGGATTGCCTTCTTCTTGGACAGGAATCAAACCAGTTCCCAGGGAACCCTGCCAGGGATTCACGACTGTGGCTGTCATGCCAAAAAAGAAAGAGGATACATTTCTATGCATGGGGTCATCATAACCCTGTACATCGAATTTCATCCAATGGTTTGGTAACACTGTCATAACAGGCCTGGGTCATTTAAAACCTTTTTTCAAGGGTTTTTTGAAAGTCAAACTGTCTGCCCTATGTGATCGAAGGTTTTCTTTTTGAAAGCCATTTATGGGCAATCTTGCCAACCATGACAATACCTACATAACTTTCGCTGAACTATCTTTACAAAACTATAACTAAGCCCACTGTAGAAATCACATGTGACAAATTTCCATCATGATCTGACAAGAGTGTTATTAAAGGCAGGGATGAGATGTTGTCAAAAGGTAATCAGCTGGATTGAACTCGGGTAACCACATGCACTGTATCAGCTGGATGTGGCCTGGAAATTAACAGGAAAGAAGAGGAGGACAGCAGTTTCCCGGCAGGGGCATGGAGCCAAACAAAGCTCCTGCTGTATATCACCTAAAAAGAGCTGGGTATGAACAAGAATATCTCTCTCTCTCTCTCTATATATATATATATATATATATATATATATATATATATATATATATATATAAATATTTATATGGAGAGAGAAATTTAGAGAGAAATGTATCCAAACTTTTCATGAAAAAGATAAAACAGCCAATAGAACTATTAACAGTGACATTTAACAAACTGTGAACTATCCTTAGAGTCACAAAATATTCCACAACCTTTCCAATTATTTCTTTTTGATAGATTGCTATGGAAAAGTCTCAGTATATTTCTGGCGACTGATTTTACAGCATTCCTATGTGGAAAAAAAACAGGTCAGAGAGGGTCCTTCATCCACATCAGTCACATTTCCGCTGGATGCAATAAAGAGTCTTAAAATCTAAATTTTTCCTTATGAACAGCCTTTTCTTGCTGTTTCTAGTTGTAGGACTTACATTTATGACAATGACTGTTACTTACCTCGACATGGCACGGGATGCTGCATGCACTCACTCCTTGTTGCACTTATGGTTAAAAGCTGGACTGCATTGCATTGCTCTGTCACAGTTTAGTGGAGGGATCAAAAATGTGAGTCTTAATGTACGGAAACCTCAGTACAGTGTCCCTTTTCCCAACCCCCCCTAGATACTATAGATTATTACCATGTCAGACTGCATACAAGCAGAAGAAGTTATTCTAACCTAAACAGTATTTACAAGCTCTACAACTCACTATGGCTTTGTTCAAAGACAAATGTACTCTTAACAAGAGTGCATTAATACATATTAAGTGTTTGTGTGAACTGACTCATTTGATATAGTGAGTGAAATCTGTAATCAGATCCCTGCTTTGTGACAGAAATTCATACAAATCTGATTCAAAGCTGTCTCCAAACTACAAATGCGGACCATGTTGCTTGAACAAATTCTGATTGAACAGACTCAAGAACAAACTTGTTGTTTAACATCTCGTGCCTATCCGTCATGAAGATTTAAAGGCTAAAATAACATATGTGACAATGCGAGGCAAACTATGAGGCGTCACTCGGTTGTCTGAGTATTCTGAAATATCCTTTTGACATGACTATCAACAAAAAATGAAATAAAAGGGAAACCAATCCTATTTGTAAAACATACTTTATTTTAAAATTGTGCAAAAAGAATATAACAAATTCAAAACACAAGTTCACATAACCATAATCTTACCAAACAATGACTGAAGTACAAAGAACAAAGTATTTACATTTTCTATAATTTTGCCAAACCTGTAGCATTTTCAATGAATTGTTCTCATAAAGGAAAGATCTAAATGCTCCGCGTAGCGATAGGATTGAGGTAGAATAAAGAAACAGGAAGTTGGAATACAGCTAATGTTTTTTTCTTGGCTTGAACTCTGAACACAAATCTATAGGCATGTACCTTTAGAAAAACAACAGGGACCAACAAAATTTAAACGTTTCTACTGTGCTTTTGGACCAGTTCTGCTAACATAATGTACTCCCCCCCACCCCCGTTCCCAATCCCCCACTCCTAATCTTCACAAAGAGGTCATTTTTACTACTACACAACAGAAATTATGAAATGCAAATCTGACACCTGTTAACAGAGGGTGAAAAAAGATTGAATCTGGGCTTGAGCACACAACAGCTCTAGGCTCCAGTATACTGATACATCGTACAGGTGTATTCTGTGCGTGCTTCAATTACTCCAAAGTGCATTTGCTGCAGTTTGATCATACAAATCATACACACATTCACACTCTTTTAAAAAGGAACCCTCTCTGTACCTGAAACATGCAACACATTCAACTGTCTTAGGTGGAAGGGGCTATTACTTTATTTGTGAATAAAAAATAAGGGCAAGAGAAATTAAGAAATTAGGAAGGTGCTAAGCAATAATAAATATGAAATTTGACATGTAAAAGATGTTTGTGATATTGCAACCGATTTCAAAACCTGCAACACATAAGCTCACCTCTTGAATTTAAACCCTATTTAGACCTTGATATGGCTTCACAGTCTAAATTCTCTAAAGCACATATGCATACATAAACCAGGAGAACAAAGGTTTGTCAAAAATTACAGCATACACACACACATATATATATGAATCTGCTTGTAGAACTGTAATTGTTTTTTAAAAACAAAACATCATATAATCTGTACAGTGATTACATACAGTGTGATCAGTATACACTCCTGTGAATGAAAAATCCTTGTATATTTGATATTTGTAATAACATAAATGTAAACATAAAACTTTCTCTCTGACCATTTCAGCACCAGCTGTTCAATTCTTTGGCAAAAAAACATCCTGTGTTCATAGATTATGCATCTCCATGGAAACATGAGTACAAAAAAGTCCATCAAAATGTTAAATGATATTAGAGAATTTTTATGGGTGAGTTCAATTCGACAGGAATCTATGAGGGACTCAACACACAAATGAACAACCACTGTGTCAAACCTGTAAGTTGCTCATATATATTTTTTGGCCAGCTGAGTTTAGACATCAGACTTCAGGAGTTTTACATCTTGACTGCAAAAAGTCGGAAGGAGTCTCCATCGGTGTTGCTTTTGCTGAAAATAAACATTTTAAAACAAATTATTTCCACCATTTCTGTTGCAATCTACTGCCAGAAATCCAGCGTTTCATACATTCATTTTCCCCTTATTATCCAAACAAGCAGTGCAATTACAAAAAAAAAGTCCTTGCAATCATGGTGCTCTCAATATGTTTGGATGGCTGCTTGTCAAATGACTCACTGCTGCAGCATTTCTGAGCCCGACTTTTCCAGTTACCACAAGTGTTGAACTCAGTGACTTAAATGAGTTAATTAGCGAAAAGACCTTGAAGCCCTGCCATGATCAATAATCACAATAGGCGAGTAAGACTGGTATCTGATCCCGGATAATTGTCTGTGTCGAAAAACACTGGCTAAGAGGCTGACATTTCCGTGCTGGAGTAACTGAATAGGCAGTGATTACTTCCCCTGCAACGGAGTGCAATCCAAACTGCCCACCCTGCCATGGTGCTGGCACATGGCACAGACTCTCCATTAGCCATTTATTGACCTCCTGTCCCAGTGGCCTGAGTGAGGCCTTCACGGCTTGTGCATTAGGTTTCATAGAATCAGGTCTGGATTGTTTTTAGCCATTCAGCACTTCTCAGACTCAATTGAAATGCCTGAGTAAAGTAAGCAAAGATCCCACGTGTGGCCCATCCACACACCAAACCACACCATTACTCTTACAACCCCAAATGCCAGCAGAGCTGACCACAAAGGCTTCCTTGCCTAAGCTGAGTCCACTAGAGCTGCTCACAGACGTGAGTGATTTGTGAAAGATGGTTTGCATGCAAAGAACGCACTACATGCAGTATTACTGAAGACATAAATCAAGATAGGATATGGTTAATAAAAAAAATATATATTTTATAGTCACATTTTGAATTTACTTGTTTGAATGTCCCACAAGATTAATGTTTTTTTAAGCTGTGTCTCAAGGTTTTCTTTACTGTCTCAATTCTGATCTGTGCATAAGAGCAGAAAGAAATATGAGTTTGTATCTAAATCATGGGTCAGCCTCTAGTATTCAGGTTTTAAACTCAGTATAATGATCTTTCTTCCGCCTTACAAGTAGGAGCAAGTGCTTGTGAATAAACACAGCTTAAAGTTGTGAAAACCATTTTAAAGAAATTACTCCGAGTTCGGTTCTGCATTTACAACCATGTCCCTGAAAAATGAGGCTAATGAGACCTTGATGTATGTTCAGGTTATTCTGGGTGGGAGTGAGACCTTTGAGAGGTGGCCAGTCCATCACAGAACATTTATCCTAACCACCATCTTTTTAAAAAAAGCTAACAGCACTTGAATGTTTGTCTTTTTGTGCCATTTTAAATCAAATGCATTTGTGTTCATTTCTGATGCAGCAAAACAACTGAAAATTTGTTTTGCTGCAAAAATAAGATAAGAGATAACTGGTTGCCTTTTCGCACTTTACGCACATTCACAGAGAGGAATTTGCAACTGTGTATTTCATTGCAAAGTCAAATTATTGGCAGCGATTCATATTTGAATTTTGTAACTACTGGACAATATTTGAATATATAACTTACAGCTAGTCACTGTACAGAACAGGCAATGCCTAATTTATCATGTAACTTTTTTATCTTAGAAAAAATCTAACCTTCTTAGATGATAAATTAGATTTGTGGCAGTAAAGAGGGTTGTGGGGCAGATTTGACTTTTCTTCTGACATGTGATTTGGGTGCACATGATCTCAGTGATAGCTTACTTTACAGCTTAGGGGGTTTGGCAGTTTCACAGCTGCCAAACATATGGCTGGCTGAAAGCTGTCGCACACCATGTTTAGACATGTTCTCATTTTTAAGACAGAGTTCCCCAAGATCAGCAGGGCTGCACATAGCTAAAGCTAAAACTCATACATGTTTAAAGTTAAGGCTTTTTTTTTAAACTTGCAACTATTAGACACGATCCCTGATCCGTATAACTGTGTATTTGGCCTTTTTTTATTGTGCAACAGCCCTCACTCTGTTAAACCATGCAAATCAATCTGTGAAATATGAACCCAGGAGTGATACCTTTCAGATTGGATGCCATTTTTCAGGAGTCCAGCATAGCTCTTTCTCCTTTCGAGGGGCAAAACATCCACAAAGCCTCCATCTGCTTTGGTTACCCCTGCGTGGACGGCTGCTTTACAAATGCTGGAACTCTGTGAAGGAAAAAAAAGTGTCCAATGAAAGAACACAATACATGTATATTATGCGTTGAATCTGGGCCAGAAGTCTGGTTCTACCACAGCAGACTAGAAGCTCTTATCAACAGTGTGGGATCATTTATTTCCAGTCCAAACACAGATCACACTGTACATACGCCCCACCAAGAGTTCTAACCAGACGGTTTATGTCTCATGTCTAACCAACATTTATATTCAGCACCACTATAGAGACAAATCTGTGTGCCTGAGACCATAAAACATTCCTTGGCACTTTTGTTAGGAGCCAGGGTGCCAGCCGCAGGGTTTCTATGGCGCTGTGATCTCTGCCCATCTGGACGTCGTCAAAGGGGCAGCTTCATCTGAGGTGGAGCACCGCTAAACTCAACGTGACCTTGTATGTGAGTGCAGTCCGTAAAATAAGCTGCAAAATTTGATAAATTAAGGCTGAGGATATTAACAGTGACTAATCCACCCTCGTCCTGATAGATTTCACTTCAGGGTGATGATTTCATCCAGTACTCCTTTTTGTGTTGTCTCCTATCTCTGGATTACAGGCACTTATTCTGAGATCATTGAGATAATGCTTTGCTGGCACTTTGTGGCTGCCATCATTCTCATCCTCCAGAGGGTGTGTTCATTCTGTGATTCAGCAGCTTTCCATGCCTGGCCCACAATCTAATTATTCAACAGATGTTCAACATCTTTACACTTTCTGCCTGAAGTAGGCTACAGATGTTAACTAGAGGGACAAATGAAAATTGATTGTAATGCTTAAGTTGCATACAAGACAAAAAGATCTTTTAGAAAAGATCTTTACTCAGTTATTGATTTCAAGAAGGACCATTGAGCCATTGAACATCGAGGAGATTACAAGACGGAATTCTTAACATCTGTGGTCGGACCACCTGCAATCAACTGCTTTCTGTCAATTGAAAAGCTAAAGGAAAAAGTGTATGTTAAGAGTATTAAGGAGAGGGAGGGATCTCTGTTTTCAGGTGTAAAAAACAGATTTCACGTTTTTGGTTTTGTAATCTACCACACCTTATACCATGTGCTGCACATCTCACACGACTTTACATTTTTGTGTAAAATAAAGACTTACATGGTCACATGTGTTCATATGACACAAGAAAAAAGGGTTTTATTACTTACGTCTGCATAGATGTTGTTGCCAATCACTGGGGCCCAATATGAAGGCTGAGTCTTACAATTGGCTGGACAGAAAACTCTTTAAAGAAAAAAAAAACATTGGATACAAGTTTGAATTTGCAACCATAGAAAAAATTTCGTCTGCTAAATAAAGTGTGTCCTAATCGGTTTGTACATGCTACTAAATAGTACTGACGACTATGTGAATACTTCACTCGGAGAGAAAAATGTCCACCTTTGATGTGTTTAGTTAAATGAGAATAGAAAAAGATCAGTGCAAAGTCACCTTGGACAGTGTGAAAGTGGTCTTTTGAAAGGGCAGATTTCAGCCACGGTGGTGTAGCAGTCAGCAGTGTATTCTGTTAAACACAGAGCAAAGATGAACACTGAATACACAGTATTGAAACATGATTCCAGACTGTGAATAAAACTACGACTCAGAGCATTTCCAAAGAAAAGAGCTGAAGCTTACCTTCCACTTTTGCCACCACAAAGGAATTTCCAGATTTATATTTACTGTAAATGCAAAATGGAGTTTAGAATTATGGAAAACTTTGTTCTTCAAACGTTCCACCATAAAAAGGAAAAAGTCTGGGCCATGGCGACAGGGAAATGTTTTCCTCTATGCAGCATCAGCACCTGAGGCTTCAGCCTACAAGCATGTGAGGACTAAACAGGTTTACATTAATTTGTTCCTATTGGTAAAGTATTTACATGATTAGCCTGCTGTGGAGCTGAATAGCAATGATCTTTATTAAGAAAATAGTAAAAATGTACCAGTCTTTCTTCCAAGATAGATGAATGCTATAATCAAGTGCTCACTGATCTTCAGTCTTCCATAAACCCTCTTCTTTTTTTACTGACTGTAAATGTGGCTCGCCTGTCACTATACTGACAGAGAGAAAGGCCTTACGTCCCACCCACAGCCTCCGTTCTGGAGCAAGCAAGTTTGAGGGTCTGATGAAAGACTAATCCAACAATGGCATCATTCTTTAACCAAAACCCCTTTTGATTGCAAAGTTATTTTGTTTTTCTGCATGAAAAAATCACGGACAAGGCATCCACCTGAGGGACTCGATGCCATTCTTTGTGGATCGGACAAAGAATGGAGACCTCTCTTTCCTTGTGACGTCAACCAGCCCTCCGTTGTTGTCGATAACCCCAGCATGAATGGCAGCGCGGCAAATGCTTGATTGCTGCAACAATCAGGCGTGAACATTAAAGTTCGCTGTGACATTATGACTTATTGGGTGATGCAGGACTTTTATTTTTGTCGTTTGTTTGAGAGACTCACCACATCATATGAGATGGTTCCCCAAACTTTCCCCTTTTTATTCAGACAGTCAGCTGGACATTTGTGTCTGCCGTGGAAGAAAACAACTTGAGTAAATGAATATTAATTAAATGTCGAAGCCACATGAAGAGGCCGTCCGACAATCCTTACCTGTTGCAGGTTGCTCCTCGGCACTTATCACGCAGCCTAGTTTCACACTTGATGTTGTGAGCTGCAAAAACGGAGCAACACTTTAACAATAAGATTGCATGTGCCATATACAAGCTTGATTTTGTTTGACATCTACCAAAATAGGTGCTGCTGGGAGTCCTTGAAGATGGTGCTCTTGGTGTGGCTGCCTTTGGACTGGAAGGATTGGATATTGGTTTCTTTGGCGGTTTAGGGGCCGGTCTAGAGGTGGTCCGAGGCGGCAGTGGCACCTGAGGCTTCTCCACCTCGTTCATGTCCTCCGTCTCCGAGCGCTGAGAGTCTGTGAATCAACCATCAAATCAAGCTGCTGTGTTCAATGTGAAATCATGTTAACAGCCTTCCTTTATGGTAACTCACAGGTTCATTACTTCATTCTGAGGGCTTTTTGAAAAGGGTAGCAATATTGGACAAATGTATTTGTGTGCGGAAAAGTGCAGCTCATCTCATCACTTCTTATCTAGACCGTCTTGTCTTAAATCAATTTTAAATGGTGGACTGTGTGGTGGTAGTACATTCTTTCTTTGGGGTGTGGCTGTCTCACTCCTTGGCAGCTACTCTAAAAAAAATAGTACGGTTTGATGTTGACAAGTGAGAGAAGAAAAGCAAAGCAAAAGGAAACACCAGATTTTTAGGGAGATCACAGTTAGTGTCATCAGTGGGGGGGAAAATAACTCACACTGGTGTGAGCATGTAACTTGGCATCACTTATTCCTCATTATTGATATCATGGGATCTTTCAAAGTGATTGAAAACCTGGCGAGTGGGCTCACCTTTATAGCAAAGGTTGTTTCTACATCCTCCCCCAAAGCTGGGAGGACACTGTGAACAAGGGCGGCCATGCTGGTATGGGGCCTCTCCGATCCAGTTTCCCCTGAAGAGGAGGTGAACAAAGGACAGCATGATTAAGGAGAAAAAATTAGTCATCAGTCAAGTCTTACCGGGTTCAGAGCTTTAGAAGTGCTTACTTTGAGCACTTCTTGTTGACACTAACAAATCTATAGCTCCACAAACTAAGTTAAACAAAAACTCCTCCTTCCTTCATTTTTCATTTTTATTCTCGTGCATATGATTTAATGATCCCAATATGTCACAAAGGTCCGCAACAGCTACTGCTTCATAGCTGAAGCTCAGCCATTTTGGAGGCACATGCTGTCAGCCCTGTAAGGCGTAGGAATGTAAACAAATCTAGAGAGCGCTGCCGGCGAGGAACAGTGGGACAGTGGGGAAATATTGATCTTACTTTGGGGAATAGTTGCATACAAGGTAAACAGAGTTCTCCCATATTTCTCCCCACACGTTCATCCTTGGACACACATGCACGGCGCAGCCCACTCGGCTTGTGGTGGCCCAGACCAGCTGGAACAGGGAAAACAAAGAAATGGCCATAGTTAGCGATGAAAAATTCTGAATGAAAAGACACTTAGCAGTGTAAACTCTCAGATTTTGGCCTGGATTCCTTACCTGACTCTTCTCACAGCAAGTTATTCCAGAGGAGGCATCTGAACTGGTTTTAATCACTGATTTAATCATTGGGGCCATTTGGTATTTTAAAGAGCACCTGGACTGCCATTCAATCTCAGGTGAATGCTCATCACTAAACTCCATTTTGACTCTAACTCTGACATAATCCTGCACAATTCAGTTTGAAGAGGAAAGAATACCCCTATTCTGATTATTAGGCTACAGAGCATGCTCAGTTTGCGAACTGAGCAAGAGAGAAGCAGGTTATTTCAAGGAAGTCAAGTGCCATTAGACATAAAATCCAACTCAGCATGTTTGAAATGTCTCCATATTCCCCTCATAAATGTGCGCTCTCCCTCCGCAGGAATGTTCAGTTTCATCCCGGTGCGCTGAGAGGAACCCGGGAGTTGTGAGTCAGCACATAGGCTGACGTGGGTGGGCAGTACAGCGTGATCACGGGAAGCAATGGAGTGTGACTGCTCGCGCTCAAGACACATCAACAAATAAGAGACTGAGACAAGGTGATGATGCTCAGATCTGGCGCTGCCTCCCTTCAGCAGCATCTTCAAAGAATCCAAGCAAAGCAGCGCAGGATGTCTGGTGTGTCTGGAAATGACTACCAGATGGAAGAGATCAGGTTTCAGCATGAAGGAAAAGGAAGGAGCCTGGATGTTTCTGCAAACTCATCCCAGCAGCTACAAAGCAAAGTCTTAGGGAGGAGGCCAACCATTCCTTTTCTGGTTCCTTGTGAGTTTGAATTTTCTTTCCATCCACGCTTGCTCTTCTTTCTTGCTGACTTTTTCTTCTACCCCCATATTTTGTATAACAGAGATGGAACCACCCTCAAAATTAAGTCCTGAGAAATCAACTATGAGCAGGCTCAATCAATCACTGAACTCAAAAGAAAATAGCTAAATTACCCATTTCTTTTACTTGGGGTGAGGGTCTATTCCTCCTTGTTTTGTCTTTACCAACAGTGCAACCGGACATCTGGCGTAGTCTTACCTGGGTATAATGGGTGCACATGGGCCCGGAGCAACGTTCTGGACACCAGGGATTGCACTCTTGAGGGTATGGGTAGGTGTAATCCTTCACCTCATCGTACCAGGCCTGGACGTGGAAAGCAGGTGAACGGTATCTGTGGGGACAACAAACACAGACAAAGAGAGGGCAAAGTCACAGGCCATCCAGCTACCAGGGGTCAACGGGGAAATATCTACTGGAGCTGCCAGATGCTTTGGCCGGACTTAAGAAACAAAGCATAATCTCCTGCACCTCCTTTTAGCCCTAAAACAATTTGTCACATTCAGTCTTGGTGCAAAGATCTACAGTCAGTTTCCTAACAAAACAGTAGTCACTAATTCAAGTTGACAAAATTGAATGAGAGAAAAGCTAAACAGGGCCCCAAATCCCAACAAATCAGTTCAAGCTCTCATTATAAACATCTCTTTTTATGGTACTAAAAAGTGCTGAGCTTCTAAATGGAGAGGAGAGGGAGAGAGGGGGAAAAATTGACTCGACATCAGGATTTGCTGGCACAGAAGAAAAGAAGGGAGTGTGGAGGGGGAGGGGGGTTGTGAGAATCAGGGCAGATTCCTGGAAGGGCACCTGCTGCGATAGCCATATGCAGCTTTACACAGAGGCCAACTGTGTCTGTCTATTCAGATTTACACTTCCTTGCCATCATTTTGCTGGTTAGTTTCCTTCACAGGTTCTGGATGAGATTCAGGGCTGAGCTCTGGCAAAGCTATTCCAAAATGTTAGATATTTCATTATTTTATTTCCGTTGATTTGGATGTATGTGTCAGATTATTGTGATGTTGGAAGGCCCGTTATTGCACAATTCTTCCCCAATATTTTCCCCACTAATGCTTGAGTGGACTTCTTCTCCAAGTATTGCCCAAGGGACTGCTACATGGTCAATTCTGGGAAATCTGAGACGTAAGAGCCTGTTTTTGGACTCAAAGGCTTGTAGTTTCAGAATGCACGGCACTGTAGTTTAATCAATTAGCATCAGCCCTGCTTATGTCTGGTGCTAAGTTTTTCAAAATTTTTCTAATTTTACCCACAAAATACAGATCTTTGCCAAAGTTTCTGGAGTTTTGGCCTATTCTTTCATTCTAAGCTGTAATGCTACCAAAGGAGCTGTTTACCCGATGATTTGAAGAGGAAACATTGTAGCTGTAGGGCGGGATCAAGAGAAGTAACACGATGGAGAACAACTTTTCATTATCAGAATGAACTGATTAATTCATTCACTCAACAAGGCACTGATCTTATCTGGACTGGGAAAGACGTGGGGTTCATCAACCAATCGTATTCAAGTTGCTTCCGTATTTAAATAGATCCAAATATATTTTAAATATATTTAAATATATTTACTAAAATATTTGCATATTTCCATAAACATTGGACAACATTGTTGACATTGTTGTCAAATCATTTTCATTGTCATTACTTTTATATGTTTCTAATGTATCAAATTCACTATTTCAGAGGTATACACAAACTAACTGAACTGTGAGTGTCATAGTATCTCACTTTCCCCAATGAACCGCCAGGTTTTGTCCAATAGAATTGAGCAGGTCCTGAGGCCCGTGGTCCCACTGGCACTCCTCTGCCCACTGAGTGGCTGACCGCTCCAGCTGCTCGTCCCAAACCTGCAAACACAGAGGAAGACACCTTTATCAGAACTTGTTTTGGATGCCCCGCCTCATTCAGGATAATTCACCTCACGTTAAGGCTCAGTGAATTATAAACCTCGGCGTGCTCAAAGCAACTGCACGTCCTCGCTCACTTTTTCTCCAAGAAGCTGAAATTGAGTTGTGTGCGAGAACAAAATCATCCTTCAGTGGGGACATTTGAGTGGAGCTGCTGGCCCTGGTCCACCACAAAACCTCGAGGAATCACAACTGAATTATCCCCATTTCCTGAGCGGGGTTCTTCAGAACGATGGAGAGGAGGTCGGAAAGCAGAGAAGACACCTGACCCTGGCTGTGAAGGGGAACACTATGAACGCAGGGAGGGCGGCCCCACAAACTACATACGCTCAGTAAATTTCCAGCCTTTAGGTGGTCGCTTAAACATGTACACACGGACACCACTGTAACCCCAAACACCCTTTTACTAACACAAACACACACTCTGCCTGTTCACTGGAATTTGAGAGAGGAGAGTGAATCTACAGACAGTTTCCTCCAGTCCCTAACCGCAGTCCTGAGACACACAGGCAGCCGCTGCCTCTCTTCACTTCGTGGAACACATGCTTTTTCAGTGATCTTCAGTGTATCAACGATAGTCCCTCTCCTGCCTCACCCGCCAATGTTCCACAGAGTTCCCTCATTTTTCCTCTCCGGGCTCCTTGCTGTCCTTCGCTTTCCTGTATTCTCTAGAGCTGAACTGCAGGTAGGACAGAGTCAGCATTATTGCGCTCCCTGTAAAAGTGGAGTGGCACAGCAGGCTGGCAGAATCTCAGCCTTTTCGTGACTGCGTGTTTCCAACGGGGAGAAAAAAGATTGTTTCTGTTATAGTATCACCACTTTTCTGGGCTAAATAAAACTTTAAAAGCTAATTACCGCCCTGGCTACTGCTGACACACCAAGTTCCATCTGATGTGAATCCCAAGATTTAGCTTGCTGTCTTCTGTTCTTTTTTTAAATGGACAGTAAGGATTCAGACTGGACAAATCAAAGCTCGTCAGATGGAACACGTCTCACCATGTACTCCATGTTTGAGGCTGTGGGGTAGACGCTGCCCCTCAGCTTGTTGTGCAGCTGGAGGATCTCCTCGCGGTCCGACCAGAGGATGGCCCGTTTGCTTCTGTTCCCGGCCGGGCCCTCGGCGCCCCCCTGCTCCGCTTCCTGCTCGTAGCGGCTCAGCAGCTTCCGCAGCTCCTCGGAGTCCGGCATGAAGAGGGACGACGAGTCTGTGACGCACAACACCAGGAGGAAGGAGACGGGGAGCCAGGTCGCAGCAGGGCAGGTCATCCTGACACTCCCGGGTTGTGCTTTAAGGCTACTGGGGAGGGCAGCTGCAAATGGAACCTGCAGGGAAGAAATCTTTATTAAGTCAGTCCCCACTGTGTGAGTTAACTTTGCACAAAATATGGGAGGAAAGATGACTAAAGTTATGGAGTGGACGTTATCATCAGTCACCCTTTTCTTAGAGTTCCCATTCTGTGTTGCTATAATATAAACACTAGATCCATTTCTCATGAAAATGAGGTTTCAGAAAGCTGACGCAGAGAGATTTTAGTCAGCCAGGGACTTTTCACTCCCAACTGTTCTGCGGTGATTGATTATTAGTTCCACTAATAATATCTGATGCAATCCAGTAGCATTGACCTGCAACGAGAGCTTCTTCTCCTTCCAGCGTCAATTTTTGCCCATTTTTCTTTTCATGTATTGGGTCATTTCCGCTTTACAGTAACGGTTGTTTTGGTATTCTACACCCTTCATTCATGAGCCAAAGCCCGACCCCGCTTACAATGACAACATTGGCCACATACCAGATTGTTGCAGATCGACTTTTACTTGTTTGCTGAATAAACTACTGAAGCTTCACACAGTCTATGATTAAATCAAAGTTATGTGACAGTCTAGCATAATACATACTGCCATGACATCAGAACATTTTGCGCAGCACTCCGTTTTTATGAGAACGTCGCTTCATCCTTGTTTACTGGCTCGGATTACTCTTAAACCAAACTGAGCTCTCGGCTCAGACGCTGAAAAAGCACATCCAGGGTCAGGCCGACGGGCCTCTGACCTGACTGAACCGTGTTTGGCCAGCGCACCTCACCTCGTCCAGCAGCAATATTATGCTGCTGATTAAGAACCTGACTTTACCCCTGGAGGCTGCGAGCAAAGTGGAGGATGTCCAACATTTAAAAATAAAGCAAACATCAGAGAGTCCCAAAGTTTTATAAAGAGAGAGGAGCTCTCAGTCAGTGCGCGATCAGAAAGGAACGAAAAAATAAAACAAGCTCAAGCTTGTACTGGTTGCTCTTATCCTTGAATCCCTTCACCCTTTTCCCTCTGGCTGAAAAGGCAGCTTGAGGTCTGGCACCGGCTCTGTGTCAACATGCTGTGCCAGCTCTGGGCCCGGCGAGCCAGCGCGCGGTGCTGCTGCCACCACACCCTTCTCCCTTCCCACTGCCCCGTCTTCCCTCCGAACCTCCACCGGCTTCTCTGTCTGCAACCTCTCAGGGCTTTTGTGAATGTTGTACCAGAGTGACAGACATAGCGGAGAACTCTGCCGCACGTGCATTTCCACATCTTCTCGATGGGAACTTGCTCATCTATGCCAGTGCCAGGCTTCTGTGGGGCACATGTTTCTCCCCACACAACAAGGCTGGAAGGAAACTGTGGCCCATGATAAATACACACAGTTACAATTCATTATGTCAATTGTTTTTGTATTTTGCTCCCATTTCCTTGGGTGAAGAACAATAGATAAAAATGCAAAAAACATAATTTTGAGGTTACAAAATCTTCAGCACTGAGAATTATGATGTTGCCTGTAAATAATATTTCCATCATGGTGCCACTGGCCTCATATTTACATTTCCAGGGGCAGTCTGCAGGCAATGCCTGGTAGAGTCTTGCCAACTAGCCTCTTTGCACCCACAATTATGATATTGTGAGGTTGTGAATGACTTCATAAACTTAAAAAAAAAAAAAAAAAAAAAAAAGCCATTCAGGAGTTGTGCCCCACATCTGTCCAAACAAGTATATGACTGTCTTATTTTTGAGTGGCTCCATACTGCAACGTGCAACAACACAGTTCACCACAAATTCACAATATCTTGCAGTCATATTCAGCAGAGTTCCTAAGATTTCTCACCTCGGTTTTTCTCTCAGCTCCGGTATGCAGCTGCTCGGATGTTCTGGGGGCTGCTTCCTTTATTCCCTTAGCGCGGCCGGAGCTGCTGCTGCGTGTTTTTGGCGGCGCTTCTGAGGCGCACAGGAACCGTGTCGGGCTTGTGCAGCTCTGAGTGCCTTATATAGCTGGAGAAAGGATACCCCTTAGAAGCAGAGGAAAAAATGACTGTCTCTCCGAACTCCCCCCCCCCCCCCCCCCCCCCCCTCCTCTCGCCAGCCTCCCTGTTCTTGGCACACGGCGCGTCGTGCGCAAACTGATGTCAGCGAAAAATACTACAAATAACGTAAATCAGTCACTGGCAGACAGCTGAATCCATGTTTAAGGCAGTTTCGCAAACTAGTATTTAAAGAACCCACAAACAGATTTTTTATAAGTTTCTAAATAAAGGGAAAAATATCTCAAAACAGTCAGCTAAGGAAAAAAAAGATCTATTTGGCTAAAATATTTTGAAAAGGAGCATTTACAGGAATAGATAGGGCATTAGGCTCACTAATCTGAAGAAGTGGGTAGGCTGAATGTTTTATAGTAGAATAACAATTGCTACCATTTAGAGTACCCAACATCAAACTGTATTAAAAAAGAGGAAAACTTTTTCAAGCAATTTTGGGGGGGAAAAACTTATGTACGAGCCGAGGCATGTGACATAACAGTCGAGGTGGTCGAGTTAAAATCCCCCCTAAAAGTGTATTAAAGTGGAAGCCAGTAAAAATAAACTATAGACCTACAAAAGAAAAGGAAACTTCCTGTCCTTCATTAATTTTGTCAATATCAGTCAAATTTGTCAATAGGGAGATTTATTAAGCAATAAATACAAACATTAGTGGAAATAGTGTATAAAACTGTACACTTAATAACCTTTAAAGAGTTGGTCCAGCCAGTTGTGATCTTCCTATGAGCTTAACGCTTTTTGACAAGTATTTGTTTCATTTTCATGGGTCTCCAGACTTCTTGAGGGACTTTCAGACAGTTTCCTCTGGCTGTGGGCTCCCTCACAGTCAGCATGGTGACACTCTGCTTCTATAATGTTAAGTGGTTGGTTTCTAGGGAGGATTCACCACTCCATGGTTTACCCAGTGTAGTTTCAGTTAATTTGTTGTGTTGTTCAGTTCGTTTTCCTTCCTCCAAATGACTATTCTGGCAGCAAACGTTTCTGTTGAGGTTTCAGTTAAAAGTAGATGCACCAGCTGAACAGCCAGGTGCATCTCTGATGAATAGATTGAGAACATAAATCTAATAAACTGTTCATTTGTAATAGGGGATCTATTTGTCTTTTTTTATTTATACAGGCACCTCTTCTGCTTATACGTTTCTATTCAGTTTTTTATACTTATCCCTTAGTTCAAGCATCCCTGACATGTTTAATCAATTGAGTGATGAAACAAGCAAAATAAATAAATAAATAAAAAGGAAACATTCCCCTGAAAGTCTCCCTGTAAAAGACTGGACTGAAAGTGAATAAAAACAGGAAAAAGAAAAACTCTGAAGGATATTTAGAAACCCCCAACAAGTCCTCAAACCGAAACCGTCATGGAAGTCTTGTCAGAACTACATAAACACAAAACCCACAAAGGGTCTCCTCTGAGCCAAAGCTCATTTACAATGGTCTGAAGGGAAGGGGAGAGGTAACCAGTGATCTGACCAAGCAGATTTTTTAAATCTGGCACTGTATCAGCACATAGTTCAAAAGTCAGCATCTGTGATGGTGTAAGGTCTAATCAGTGCAGATGCCACGGACTACTTCACAGATTTGTCAGGCCCAGTATTGCTGAACTACGTGCAAAGGCCGTGGACCTACACTCTGAAACACAAATGTTCTCCTCAGGAAAGACTTTGCTTCCATCAGCAAAGCAATGACACAACAGCCTCCTTGTACCGGCCTGAGATGGGACAAAGATGCAAAGATCACTTCTGAAGTCCTGGTCGGGAAGCCACGGGAAACATTTTGTAACATTACAGAGCTGGAGTGAAATAAAAAGAATTGTTGATGATTATGAGAATGTTTTACCTTTATAACCACAGCAAGATGTGTTCCTGCTTCTACACACCTGATTCGGATAAAATGGATCTCTTCTAAGGATTGTTAAGCTCCTCATAGGTCCCATTGATCTGAATCAGGTGTGCCGGAGCATGGAAACCTGGACGACATGCAGGACGAGGTGCCTTCTGGACTTCGGCTGGGAAACAATGCCTTAAAGACAGCCTTTGGTCAAAAACTGATCAACTTTATTTGAAACTTTGCAAAAATACAACTCAATGCCCCACGAAAAGACTGCATGGGGGAAACAGGTTCCTCTATATGGGAGCAGTTTTTCCCTCTATTGGACCTGCAGAGTGCTGCGAACTACACTGTGACCTAAATATTTCTTTTTTTTTTCCATCACGAGCTCAATTTCTACTTGAACTATCTCAGATATTTACAATATCGTCGCCAGTTGGCGCAAACTAATAAGGACTCCCATGAGAATTACCAGCACTGGCCATGAACTCGGAGTAAAAATACACGTTAAGGAGGCCGTTTGGCTCACCCTGCATCAGCTCTTCAGATTTGTGAGGGAGGCTGACAATGATTTATGGAGACTGGACAGACAACCAAGCAATGAGGGTCTTAGCAAGCCCTCGTGGGCTATTTTCTAATCCTCTTTGCATTGATGCTGTACAGATTTTAATTCAGGCAAAACCTCTCGTCCAGATGATCTGTAAAGGAAAATATTTTTTCTCTGGTCAGTGACATCCATCCAGATGTCTAATACCGCCAATTAGTATTTTCCTCTAACAGTTTGGAAACAGTATCAGACATGCTTTCCCTCTTTAGTTCCATAACAGGCACAGGCTTCATGGCCTCCATTTATTATGCTAATATTTTGAGATGGTTTATAAGTCGACAAGGCTAATTATACATTAACACACCACTATATGAGGAATACTGCATCTGACCTGTCCCCCCCCTTGTGATTTACACACTACAGTAGTGAATAGGACCTATTTTTCTGATGTAACAAAACACCATCATTTTACAGGTCTTCATACATAATTTAATCAAATTAAGATTAACACACGTCTGAACAGAGAGTAGAATAACAGCAAGTTGTTGTGATTAGATGTTCCTCACGTTGTATAGAGTCATCCTTCATTTCTTTAACCCTACGTTGATTTATTAACAGTGGACCATGAATCTATGATTAAAAGATATTTCATAAATGGGAGATTCTCAAGGGACTTTGACATTCTTAACCTATTGTTGCTCAAGATACGTTGCCCTTTTTTTTAACAATCTTCACGTGTCTGCATCAGACGGAAACCCTAATGGTACCAGCTCGAGTAGTGAATAAGCCATGGAAATCCACCTCACTTAAAAGTAGAATTTAGGCCTTCCCAATTACCCGTTTACTGAGTGCTCTGAGAAACCCTGGGTGAGCAGTTCACCGACAGATGTTACCAATGAGGCACTCTGTCCCGATAACTTGTTTTACGAGGATTTTCTCAGACCATTCTCTCCTTACTCAGCCCCATCAAGCCAGACATCTAATTCATTACAGGCCCCACGGAAGATCACAGGTTTGCCTGGAGGATAACAAAAGGATTACTCAAAGGCAACCTCACATTGTTTACTTCTCAAAATGGTATAATTGGGACCCAAGATTTGCCATTTTGTAAATATCTGAAACCGACATCCATCAAACACACAACTCTCCACAAGCGCCAGTTTATTTGAACCGTTATCATGCAGATTTGTACAACTCTGGTGGCTTTGTTTACTTTCATAAACTGCAGATTGTTAATGAGTCTGAAAAAAAAAAAGGACAAAAATGTTGATGCAGACGGGGAATTCTGCAGAAGAATTAAGAAACCATGTGTTGCACGAGGCTGGTTGTAAAAACAAACCAGTGGGCGGATGGAGGGGGGAAACAGGAAATGCAGAAAACAGCGTAAACGGAGAGGAAAATGAATCAAACGCATGTGGATGAGAATGCAACGAGGAGATCCTCCGCTGCAGCTTTGGAGATCTGCACCGCCGCATTTAGAGAAGAAACTGCACCATCGGCCTATGGGGGGGGGGTGCTATTGGAGAAAATTTGCAGCAGATGTTTCAAAACAAACAAACACTGTTACAGAATTTAAAGTGGACTCCGGTCATCAGTCTGTAAAAACGATCCCGTCACCACCTGGACAGGCTTTATCACCAGCAGTCCAGATATAGGAGAAGTCTGAACCAGGGAGAGAGAGGAGCTGAAAATGAACGTGCAGGTCGGGGTCTGTGGTCTCACCTGTGGGCGCAGAACGTTGAAAATGGACATATGGGTAGAAGAATGACCGATGGGAAATAACTTCCAAGTCTCAAAGTGTGGCTTTTCCTTTTTTTTTTTGTTAGAAAACTGACATCTGCATAAGACACTTGGCTTGACCTGTGGTGACTACCACTTAGTGGCCTCCTGCCACCTATCCAGCAACGATCCTGTTGAGACTGTAGCAGGGAAGGACATGACCAATAGAGCTATGTGCTGCAGCACGTGGGTTGAGTAGTCACCAAGAGAGAAAGCTTTTTTTGGTTTTTCATCATTTAGGAGAGTAAAGCTGTAGTTGTTTGAAATAAACATGTTGAAGAAATGCAGCCTGTCACACTGAGCCCATTTCATGGAGACAGGCTCTGGTTTAGAGCTCATCTGGACTCCTAAAATATGGTTCTGGGAAGAGAGGGAAAAAAAAAACAATAGGACTGGGGGTCCAATAAACCATTAAAAGTTCTTGACTGGCTGACGCTGATGAGTGGGCCAGTCATCAAACATGTAATTTTCCTCTTTGAGTCCAATAAAAAAAAGCATGGTTGACGTTAAGAAGGAAAATACTACACTTCATATCGAGTTTTAGGGCAAAGCCGCATTTCAATAGATGCTAAGTAATCGTTTAGACGGAAGAGAATACTGGGGGAGCAAAAAATCTTACATGGCACATTTTTCAATGATGGTCTGCTTCTCATTCCCAAACAAAGCTCAACCACAGCCCTTAAGAACACTTGGGCACTGAGGCAGCCCGCTAAGCCTCAAGGACGAGGAGATAACACATGACAAACACACTTATACAGATAAACTGGGAGAGGTAAGCATTCAAAGTGTGCGGTAGACCAAGAGTCTGGATCCCTCTGCAGTTTGGGTTCACTGTACATTGTGTAAACAGCAGAGTGGCTCAACACTCTGTAGCGTAAGAAAACCAGGTGATCTTCAGACTACACTTGATTAGCAAACTACTTTTTGCACAATCCTTTATTTGACAATAAACAAAATAGGATGCTGGAGGCTTAAAATGAAAAGACAGAATAGAAGTTGATTTTCAGATCAATATCCCAACAGTTCCCAGCAGACAATAGTGTTAGGAGCACATACGGAGAAACAAACATTACTGAAGCTTTTCACCAGCACATTTCGGGATCAGCTGTCAGACACCGAGATAAAACTGTACAACAGAAAGCTCAAGGTGTCCGTCTCAAAAACCCATCGGCCAAACGTTCCTTTAAAAAGGGAGAAGAAAAAAAAAAAAATGCAAGTCAGCAATGTCACAATTTGTGCAGAAATTACGAAAGCCAGCATAGAAACTCAACTATGAATGTTATGATGGATCAACTGTCTACAGAGCATGCCATTTCCTGTGGTCAGTGATACATGGCAACAAGACCTCAAATGGACAAGGCAAAACAAAGATCGTCGCGTAGAAATTGAGTGGAAGGCAGTAGGGGCCGATATGTTGTCCTTTGGTTTACTTGGGAAAGGTTTTTGACATCAAAACCCAGAAGTCAGTGAACAATATACACCGCATAAAGATACTTTAAAAAAAAAAAGAAAAGAATTTGCAGAGGCCTACTTTATCTATTGAGAAAACTTTGAAAAAGTTAATCAACTTTAATTTAAACTCGAGTGAGCCCAAGAAAGCTTTAAATTTACAATCAAAGGGCAAATTATATGAGCTTAATACAAACACTGCGCATAAAATGCAGGAACTGGATCTCACATCGCAACAGCACTTCTTCATTCTGCAGAACGAATAGCTGCTCTCCACCTGTGTGGCTGGTTTTAATGAGCAGAGGGATGTGCAAGAAACCATCTGTGTGAGATGAAAGCCGTCATGAAGGGAAACTCAAGCTGATTCCTTAACACTGAGAATCTGACACTGGCGGTTGGAATGAAGGGAGAAAAGGGGGATCGAACAAAATGACAAAAATGGAACTAAACATCGAGCAAAGAACTACTTTAATTTTATTTGTTGTGCTTTAGCCCGTTTCATTTCTTTTCCAAACACCAGTTCCAATGTAAGCGTTTTGTTCTGAAGGGAGCAAGAGCAGCGTGACATCCGATAGATGATCAATGACCAAAAAAAATAAAATAATCCTTTAGAAACAAACAAAAAAAAACAAATGAACAAGAAATCACAATCGTTGACTGAACCAAAAATGACTATCTTCAACACAAGCAAACGCTACTTCCTGTTGTGCGTGTGTCCGTGGTTTTTATGCAGAGCTGTGTCCAGTCCCACTGCCCCTCCATGCTCAGCTGCCCACTGCGGGGGGGTG